AAGTCAGGAGTTGGTTAGAGATTTGTAGATTAGTGAATGGCATGTTGGTTGATTAGTTGGTTGATTTGTTGGTTGATTAGTTGGGTGGTTGGTTAGTTGGTTGGTCAATCAGGAGTTAGAGGTTTGTAGATTAGTGAATGGCATGTTGGTTAGTCAGTTGGTTGGTTGATTGGGCAGTAGTTGGTTAGTTCCTTGTTGATTAGTATACAGCATGTTGTTGGTTGTTTGGTTGATTAGTTGTCTGATTAGTTGATTGACTGGTTGGTTAGTTGGTTGCTGGTTGGTTGGTTGATCTGTCGGTCAGTCGGTTGGTCCGTCATTGCTTAGTAGTTTTTTTTTTATTAATGTACAGCATATTGTTGTTTGGTTGGTCAATTGGTCTATTGGTTGGTTGGTTGCTTGTTGGTTATTTGGTCAGTATGTAGATGTTAGAGATCTGTAGATTTGTGAGTGGCATGTTGTTGATTGGTTGGTTGGTTGGTTGGTCTGTAGGTGCTTAGAGGTTTTTAGATTAGTGGATGGCATGTTGCTGGTTGGTTGATTGATTAGTTGGTTGCTTAGTTGATCTGTCAGTAGGTGGTTAGGTTTGTAGATTAGTGTACAGCATATTGTTGGTTGGTTGGTGTTTAGAGGTTTGTAGATTAGTTGATGGCATGTTGTTGATTGGTTGGTTGGGTGGTTTTGTCTGTAGGTGCTTAGAGGTTTTTAGATTAGTGGATGGCATGCTGTTGGTTGGTTGATTGATTAGATGGTTGGTTAGTTGGTCTGTCAGTAGGTGGTTAGAGGTTTGTAGATTAGTGGACAGCATATTGTGTTATTGGTTAGTGGTTAGTTGGTTATATTTGACTCAGTCAGGAAGAGACTGAGTCATTTACAGAACTGACTGATTGTAGTTTATTCTAAAAAAGTTCAATCTGGTCCTCTGGACATTCAAAAAAAAAATTGTAGAAACGTTTCGTCTTTCATCCGAAAGACTTCTTCAGTCTGAGGTGCTGTATTCAGCTCAGTCTTATAAATAGCACCTTCTCGCAGTGGATCAACCAGATTGCTGCTGACAACCAAAACCAGCTGCTCACATGATCAAGGAGGACCATCAGCCTAACAATGGATCATTAGCACACTGATGGCTGTTTGCTATTCACAGGGGGCTGAGTGATACTAGCAATAACAGCATTGTAAGAGGGGGACAGTTGAACACTTGACACAACACATGGACATGGAGGCCTCCACCCCGTTTAACGATAGACTGTTTCTTTTCACTAAGATGGCCTCCTTTTCTCCTCTCTCAAACCATCGTTCCTCTCTATCAAGGATGTGAACATCTTCATCTCTGAAAGAGTGACCGCTGGCCTGGAGATGAGTGTAGACCGCAGAGTCCTGGCCTGATGATGTTGATCTTCTGTGCTGGGCCATCCTTTTGGCCAGTGGCTGTTTAGTTTCCCCGATGTAAGACTGATCACAGCCCTCCTGACACTGAACAGCATACACAACATTACTCTGTTTGTGCCGGGGGACTGGATCTTTGGGATGGACCAGTCTTTTCCGTAATGTATTTTGGGACTTGAAAGCCACTGGGATGTCAGGTTTAGAAAATAAACGTCTCAATTTCTCTACATGTCCCATGATGCCTCTCTGCAGACACCTTCTGGATCAATCCTCAGTATAAAATCTCTCTGCTGGAGGAAGATGATAACCCTGAGGATGACGAGGCTGCCTGCAGCTTCCTGGTGGCTCTAATGCAGAAGGATCGCCGCCGCTACCGCCAACATGGACAGGACATGCACACCATTGGCTTTGCTATTTATAAGGTACCAGAAGTTCACTGAACTGAAGGTTCTGCTGCCATGAGTTTTGATGGCCCTCTAACAACCACCGCCACTGAAATCACATATCTGTTCTCAGGGCCGGTCCTAGCCTGTTTGATGCCCTGGGCAAAACGCCCCCACCCTCGGGGACACGGACACACTCCATGACATTTCATTTAGATTTTCCATTTTCCTTCACAGACACTCAAAGTTTCTATGAATATTTTATTAATAAAACAAAATTGAAGAAACTAGAATAAAACTGTAAACACACAGAGTATGACACATAAATACTGTACACTATGAATTTAAAGGTATATAGTACAATACAAAAGTTAAATACTGTAGAAAAGAAACACAATTAAAATAAGGCATTTCTAAATTGCACTGATAAATAAGGAAATCTGTTCAACAATTGCTCTTTGATCAAAACACAAATTAAACTACACACGTATCAAAGAAGGTCCAAACCTTTTCAGAATAAAACAATTTGCACTATTACACTTCAAGAAACAAAAATTAAATTGCACAACAACTGAACACTGTTCAAAATGTTGTAAAATGTTCTGCAACCATGTTAGGCTCCAGAACCAGAACCACTGCTGAAGAGGCCCGTGAGGCTGAGGAAGAGGATGGCTCTTCATCCTGACCTGTAGCAGAGGGTGCTCACCAGAACCTTCTGTTAGTCAAGTAGCAACATTCTGATATCAGTGCAGGTAGTTCTGGTTCTGACTTATCTCCCTCTCAGTTTCTCTCGTTGACAGATTCCTGAAGAGGAGAGGTCTTCAGCAAAACATTTTTTTATTTTTAATTGTTTTGTACTTAACTTTTCCGTCCCTCCGTTTGGTGATCCGATAGGTCCAAGATTCTCCCAGTGTCCACATGAAGAAGGAGTTTTTCCTAAGGCAGTCCTCCTGTGCTCGCTCTGAGACCTTCATCAATCTGAGAGAGGTGAGCGCCAGGCTCCGCCTCCCACCTGGCGAGTACCTGATTGTCCCGTCCACATTCGAACCCTCGAAGGAGGCGGACTTTGTCCTGAGGGTCTTTACAGAGAAACAGTCTGAGTCCAGGTGAGTTCAGCAAGAATCATTTCACGTTTTGTTTGTTATTAGTTTTTTCTTCTGAGGGACTGTGTGAATGTCTGCAGGGACATGGACGACACCGTGGTGGCAGACCTGGACAAGGAGGTGGGACACTCGTCTTTAAAGGTGTCCAATCACAGAAGATGCTTCTGTTCTAAAGAGCTTTCTGTTCTTCCTCTTCTCTGCAGGAAGAAATCTCTGAGAGTGACATTGACGACTCCTTCAGGTCCATGTTCGCTCAGCTGTCTGGAGACGTGAGTCCAGTTTCTGAAGAACCAGTTGTGACCTCTCCGGGTACTCTGTTCTGAGTGTGGATCCAAACAGATCCGTAATCTGTGGGGGACTCTGTTTTCTGTTTTCAGGACATGGAGATCTCAGTTCGAGAACTCAGAACTGTCCTCAACAAAGTTGTGGCCAGACGTGAGTCTCACCTAAAACTGTACAAGACAGTTTCAGTCTTGGTGCTTTAGGTTGATCGTTCTGAACCTGATTCTTGGTTTTTACCTGTGACTGCAGACCGAGACCTGCAGACTGATGGATTCAGTATGGAGTCCTGCAGGGCCATGGTCAGCATCATGGATGTATCCTCACTCAGTCCAACAGGACCGGTAAAGACCGAAACCTGCCTGAACCAGGTCCTGACAGATTTGGGTCTTGGTTCAGTCAGGGTCAGATCAGGTCTTGGTTCAGTCAGGGTCAGATCAGGTCTTGGTTCAGTCAGGGTCAGATCAGGTCTTGGTTCAGTCAGGGTTAGTCAGGGTTCATTTAGGTTCAGATCTGGGGTCAGTCAGAATCTGGGTCAGATCATATATGCTGATCTTCCGAGTCCACTCTTGGAACGGGTCTGGTGCTGCTGGTCTGTGGGGTCAACAGACATAGACCCTGATCTACCTTGACTGGACCTCAGAAAGACGGCAGCGCTCGGCTCGGTCTGCTGGAGTTTCAGATCCTTTGGAACAGGATCAGGAAGTGGCTGGTGAGTTGACCATCATCTCTGGTTCTGATTCAACATGTAAACCTGTGTAGAATCAAGTCCAGGCAGCACGAGGACCTGGTTGTTTCAGGTCTAGCAGCACGAGGACCTGATGAAACCAGGTAAAACCCATTTAGACTGAAACATGATGGTCTTGTGTTTCAGGCAATCTTCAGAGAGTTTGATCTGGATAAGTCTGGCAGCATGAGCTCCTATGAGATGCGATTGGCGCTGGAGAATGGCGGTGAGTTCTGTTGGTTCTGAACGTTGGTGTTTTGGTCTAAGTGGACTCGGTTTGATGGATCTGACCTGAGATCTGCTCCATCTGCAGGATTCAGGCTGAACAACAAGCTGTACCAGATGCTAATCGCTCGATATGCTGACAAAGAGATCATTGACTTCGACAACTTCACCTGCTGCCTCATCAAGCTGGAGGCTATGTTCAGTACGTACAGAACCAGGTTCTGACGGGTCCAATGTCAAGACTTAAGCATGAATTTATATCATCCAGAACTGATCCAGTGTCTTCCTTAGGGACGTTCCAGGGCCTGGACAGAGATGGAACAGGAGTGGTGGAGTTGAACGTCCTCGAGGTACCTAACATTCACCGTACAATAATGTGTTTGAACGCCTGAAACAGCTGGTAGTGCAGTAGCTTGGTGGTCAGTGCTGCAGACTCATAGTGCTTTTGCTGTGGGTTTGAGCCCAGGTTCTGTCAGGAAGGGCATCCTGTGTGTAGGGGACCACCACCTCAGAAACAGTTCACCTCAGCTCAAACAAACATCATTCATGTGTTTTTGTGTTTGAAACTGTTAAACTAAGATTCATGTATTCCCTTGGGAACAAACAGACATTGTTTTGCAGGTGTTCAACTCAGCTCACAAACTTCTCAGCTGAACTAATGTCAATGTAAAAAAAAAAACCTGTCACTATGAACTCATTTCCCATGAAACGGACAGATCGTTTAATGAGAGTTTTGGTTCAACTGACCTCGAAGTTTCGAAACATCCGAACTTGCTACGTTAAGATTTTGCCTTTATCAGGAAGGGGTATTCCTCTCAGAACTCGTTCCCATGACGATAACACATTGAAGAACCCTTTGTTTAATGACATTCCCTTTTCAGGAGATGGACAGCGTCACTTTTTGGTGAAACATTGCATGTTATTAATTTCAATATGTAATTTCTGTTTTATTTTATACCTGAATGTTTATTCATGAAAATGTGTGTTTTAAGTAATCTCTCTTTATGATAATCCATCCATTATCTTTACCCGCTTCTTCCATTTTGGGTCACGGGGGTCGCCGGTGCCCATGTCCAGCGATCACTGTGCGAGGGGCGGGGTACACCCTGGATGGGTCGCAAGTCCATCACAGGGCCACATAGAGACAAATGAGACAAACAGCCATTCTCTCTCTCACCAAGGGACAATTTAGAGTTACCAATCAGCCTAACATGCATGTTTTTGGTCTGTGGGAGGAAACCGGAGTACCCGGAGAAAACCCACGCATGCACGGAGAGAACATGCAAACTCCACCCAGAAAGGCCCCTGGACTGGGGTTTGAACCAGGGACTTGCTCGCTGAGAGGCAGCAGCTCTACCAGTTGCGCCACCGTGCTGCCTCTTTAAGATAATCATTTGTCTTATTGTCCTCTTTTAAAAGAAGAGTGACTTTTAAGGCAGAGAAAGGGACTATATATTTATTTAAGAAACCTTTATAAAAACATGACAAAGAGTTAGGACCACCCCCTCCTGAGGTGGACCAAAGTCAATCTGTAACACACAGACAGTTAAGTTGCACTTTTCACTTCTTCTTCTACTTCTTCACTTCTACACACTTCACTGGACTTTGAGCAAACTTCAGAGAAAGACGCATCCTCCTAGAGAGACATCCTATGAAGAGAATTCAGGAGAGAAGCATCCTTTCTGCAGACGTCTCAGGACGAGAGAAAGACACAGAACCTGGCCGAACCAGAACCATCACACCGCAGAGTGGTAAATCCCAGCTGACTCCCATATGGACCCTCGTCCCTCTAAGATGACAGGTGAACTTTGAGAAGACTTAAGCCTCAAAAGTTAACTGGAACATCTGGGCTGGTACCATTTTAAGCAGCTGTCGGACCATTCTGGCATCTCATCCTGGTAGGACAAGAGACTTTTGAGGCCTTTCTGGTGACACTACATCACAATATTCTTATCAGACAAACTACTGCTCACCTTAGACACAATTTTTTTTACCACTTCACAAAACAGCAACCAGTCCAAAATCTGCCTTTTAAGTTTCACTGAGTTGAATAATCAATTAGACCTTTGATGCAAAGCTATTTGTTATTCAGTTAACTTTTGTTATGCATAATCGTCATCACATATCATAGATTATTATTTTTATAATAAAATACATAAAATCAACTGAATTTGTGATTATTTTAGCATATCTGTGTGTATTAACTGATTTGATGCCCTTTAAACACGAGAAAAGAACTCACCTTTCGGTTTACATTAATTTGGGGTTAAATAGAGACTGATTTTTCCACTCCAAGAGAGGTGGTTCCCACACAACGAGGTTATTTGCATAATAAATACATATCTTATTAGCTTAACTCATAACTAATAATTTACACAAGGTTATTTGCATAACAAATACATATCTTATGAGCTTAACTCATAACTAATAATTTACAATATATATCCAGCCCCATATCACCCTACATGTGTAAAACAATTATCAAGTGTTTAGTGTAAGTTTGCTCACTGTGGTGGCCTCTGCAGAAGGGAGCAGCTGGAAAACAAAACATCTGAAATACCAGCACACCTGTCCAGGTGTGTTGGTGATTCTTCAAGTCAGTCACATGATACTAACATGTTTAACTCTCTCATGTTTGTTGTCAGGACTTACTGCATTAGGAGCTCAGGGAACCAGTGTCTTCTGTTTAATGTTTGTTTGTTTGTTTGTTTATTTGTTTGTTTGTTTCCTCAGTGGCTCTTTGTGACCATGTGTGGCTGAAATACAGAACACCCCACACCCAGGATGATCAGGAGAAGATCAACAACTGACTACTACCACAGAGGCAGCCTACAGCAGCTGCACTGCAACTCTGCTACTGTACTAAAAACTGTACCACACACTGTTACTACTGACTGTACTATTGACTGTTCTACTCAATGTACTATAGACAGTACCACAGACTACTATAGACTGTACTACGGACTGTACCACAGATTGTACTATAGACTGTACTAAATACTGTACTATACACACTACTATAGACTGTAGTTAAAACTGTACCACATACTGTACTAAAGACTGTACTACTTAATGTACTATAAACTATACTAAAGACTGTACTGTAGACTGTACTATAGATTGTACTACAGACTGTACTACAGACTGTACCACAGACTGTACTAAACACTTTACTGTATTGTACTATAGTCTGAACTAGACTGTAATATAGACTGTACTATAGATTACACTAAAGACTGTACTATAGATTGTACTGAATACTTTTTATACCACACTAAATTATATTGCACTAAAGACTGTACCACAGACTACTACACTGTACCACATACTTTAATATAAACTGTACTACAGACTGCAATATAGACTGTACTATAGATTGAACTATAGACTGTACTTTATATTGTACTATAGATTGTGCTATGCAATATAGACTGTACTAAAGACTGTGCATATACTGCAGACTGTACTAAAGACTGTACTATATATTTTGCTATAGACTGCACTAAAGACTGTACTAGACTGTACTATAGATTGTACTAAAGACTGTATTAAAGACTGTGCCACAGATTGTACTATAAATCGTACTAAAGACTTTACTATAGATTGCACCAATGACTGTAACCCAGACTTTACTACAGACTGCACTATAGACAGTGTTATAGAATGACTACAGACTGTAATATAGGCTATACCACTGTCTGTACAGTAGACTGTAATACAGTCTGCAATACAGACTGTACTACAAACTGTACTATATAGACTTACTACATGCTGCAACACTGTCCTTACTATAGGCTCTACAATTATAATACAGTTAGGTACTACAGTATTACTACAGTATTACTACAACTGCATTAGCCAATACTCGTAAAATTACAGTAAAACAACAGAGTACTACAGATAGTTTGCGTTGGTACCACAATAATGCCACACTTTGTACTACAGTATAATTATAGCTGTCTCAGTTCAGTCTCAATTACATATACATGTATAAAATATAACCAAATATACACAACATATTAATATTTAAAACTGATTAACCTGCATGGATTTTAAAGCTCAGGTAAAACCTGAGACATACTAGTCCTCTGACAAGCCCTCTAACCAGGTCCCTCACCAGAACGCTCCAGTATCTGAGCTACTGCCTCTTCCTCACACAGAGGGAGCTAGAAGTCCTCACTGCTTTAACTGCTGCTGTTTGTCTTCACCTGCCACCTGAGAGTCAGAGCAGCGAGTTTATTTGTCCCACGGCAGGTGAAGTTTTCAGGTGTGAAACTAATTAAAGTTGACTGAAACAAATCTGCTGTCTGTGTGTGATTTACTTAACCTCTGACCTTTGACACATGACCAACAGCCAGCCACATGTCAGAGTAATCTCAGTCCTAATTTGGGCTCATTTCCCTTTATTCAGTTTTGAGGCAGTAAAATTAACTAGAGAAATTGCATTTCCTGCAAAAGTATGAATGCTTATTGCAGCAGAACATGCTGGAAAAACAGCTGAAATTAACTAAAAACATACTGTATTTAGCTGAAATGGAAGAACTAGCCTAAATTAGCAAAAGAAAGCAGAAAGAAGACTGCTGAATTAAGTTTAAATAAGCAGAAATTAGCAACCAAAAAAAAGCCACAAAGTGGCTGAAAAGGCAGAAAGAAGCTTAAACTACTAGAAGGAAGCGGAAAGAGCTGCAAAATGTGTAATTAGCTGAAAAGGCTAAAATAAGCATAAAACAGTTCAATAGTAGCTAAAATAGCAGAAAAAAATGAAACTAGCAGAAAAAAGCTGAAAGGAGAATATCAAGCTGAAATGAGCATAAAGTAATTAATTAGGCTGAAATTACCACAAAAAACTTGAATTTATCTGAAAACAGCTGAAATTAGCTAAAAAAATGTAAAAAAGTTAGCTGAAATGTTAGAACAAGCTTAAATTAACAGAAGAAAGCAGACAGAACACGTTTGCCCAATTAGGCTAAAAGAAGCAGAAATGCACAAAACGTGGAAATTGAGAAAAGCTGAAATTATCGAGAAAATGGCTGAAATTAGCTAAAAAGGATAAAGAAGATTAAACTACCAGAAGGAAGTAAGCGCACAATTTTGCTCAATTAGGCTGAAAAACACAGAAATGAGCACAAAAAGTATGGAATTAGCTGAAAAAGCTAAGATTAGCATAAAAACAACCAAATAGTGGAAATAGCAGAAAAATCAGTAGAAATAAGCTGAAAGGAGCATAACAAGCTGAAATTAGCGTAAATAAGTTAGAAGAAGCACAAAAATGTTTTAGCAGAAAGAATCTGAAAGGAGCACAAAACAGCTAAAAGCAACAGCTGAAAGTAGCTGAAAATAACCTGATGCATGCTCAAATAAGTTTAAATTTGCACAAGAAAGCTGAAAGAAGCTGAACCAGATCAAAATGTAAAAGAAGCAGTAAAAGTTAAACAGATTTAAAGATTTGAAGGTCAAGGTTTTCTTTATTGCCATTTGCATCCATGTGGTGGAACAAAATTGTGTAATGAAGCATGTCAAATGAGCTCAATTCATTTTCTGTAATAATAAAAATGGCTGAAAAGGGTAAATATTTCAAAAAGCTAAAGTACAACTTTATTATTATTATTATTTATAATTGGAGACTTGTCTACTCAATCATGATTATAAGATTGTGGCTTTAATATTTGCTAATAATTAAAGAGGTCTTGGACACAGTTATTGATGAGACACAGTCGAGCTTTATGAGAAACAGACACATCTCTAAAATCATCAGACTAGTTTTAGATCTACATCATTACGACTTGATACCTGACGATAGTTACCGAATGTTCTCTTCCTGGATTTCCATATAGCCTGACACAATCGAACATCAAATTATTTTTCATTTTCTGCAAAAATTTGGCTTTTGAAGATTTTATTTTTTTTGCAAAGCTGTCGAAACCTTATTCTCTAATGTCTATAGTTGCATCAAAATGGGAAATTGCTCCACCCCCAGACTTGACCTGAGACGTGGTACTCGACAAGGATGTCCCATTTCACCATATTTATTCCTGCTTTGTGCACAAACTCTAACAATAGCTCCAGTAGTGCTGTACAGGGAGTCACCATAGCTAATAAGGAGCTCATTAGCTAGCTGATGACACAACAGATATTTTAAGGAATGCAAACCATACCCCTCTTGCTTTAGGTGACTGATGACTTCTCCAAGGCCTCTGGTTTATGACTAAATTAAAAAAAAAAAGTGAAATGCAGACTGCTCAGCAAATGTCATCTGTAATATCGGTTAAACAAGAAGTCACATACTTAGGACTTTTAATCTCCAGATACCAAAAGTTAAGATGCTCCTCTATAATTTTACTCCATTTATACAGAAAACCCAAAATAAATCCAAGCGGTGGCTACAGAGGGATTTATCTCTAAAAGGTAGAGTGAAATTACCAAAGGTGAAGGGTTATCCTGACGGACATGCGCTGCTCTCGCCTTACATTTAGATAATAAAATCAGTAAACATATACTTTTTTTAAATTTTACGTGGAAAAATTGTGCACATTATATTAGAAAAACTGTTGTGTTGAATAATCAGGTGAGCTTTTAACGTTCTGGATTTCTCCACCTTAAACAGCGCACTCAAAATGTAACACTTTCTTAAAAACCCAACTTCTATCTGGACTCTTACACCATATCATGCACAGCTCATTTTCTCACTGGTGCTTGATAATCTCGTATAAAAACGTTGACTGCTCTTGTTCCTCTTCCTGATCCAGCTGAGTCATGAGCAAGAAAAATCAGCTTTTCACAGGAACTTGGCACTAGCGAGAAGAGAACACGCACTGTTCATCGTCTCGTCCAACGTCTTATTGGAACCGTCGAATCCCAGACAGTCTGGATGATCCATCAATATTTAATTTTAAATACTGGAATATCTTACAAAAAGATTTGAAGCTCTCGACCTTGACCTCTCTAAGTGGCTTTAAGAATCTGTTGGACTCCTGGCAGGGACCAATGCAGACATGTTCCTGTTTTTAGTTTTATACATTTGTCTTGGAATCTAGCTGTTTTTTTTTTGTTGTTTTGTTACCTTTTTCCTTTTAGCCATCCTATTTGTTAAAAAAAAAACAAAAAAAAACCTAGTATGAGTTTTTATAACTGCTTATTGTTGTTGCTGTTGTTCATTGTTGTCATCTTTCTTTGTTGAAATCAGGTCTCTCTTGTAAATGAGTCCTCGAGGCTCAATGGGATTTACCTGTATAAATAAAGGTTGATTGATAAATAAGGTGAAGGAAGTGTCATTTAAATTTCTTCACTATATGGTCAAATTTAAGACATAAATAGTAGTTGCAGTTTCTTAATTGTGACACCTTTTTTGGTATTGCTCTTTCACACACAGGTTCTGGAAGGGCAGATTTCTGGTTCTGGTTTATTATTAAACATATTTTTCATTACGATGGGAAAATGTTTTATTCAGGTTTTTTTTCCCCCCAGAATGGATGTTAAATTATTATTATTTTTTATATAATAAATGTGCTGATTCTTCTGGCTACATTTTATATTCATAAATGTAAATTTGTAAATAAAACCACATTTTCTTAAGGATGTGGAACTTTACCAGACTCCACCAACAAAAAGGTTCTTAAAACAATTCATATTTGCATTTATTTGTTCAGGCAACACCCCTGACTCTTTGTGTTGTATTCCCGTTTGTTGTATATTTGACATTTGTTCAATAAAGATTATTATTTAAAAATCGTACTTTTAAAAAAAAAGTTTGTTTGATGAAGTGAAACAGGAATAAAATGTTAAATTTAGACATCGTTGATTTTTCAGCAGTATCAGGTGAACGTCCCGGCTGGGGATTAGTAGTCTCACAGAAAAACCGGACCCAAAGTGGATTGAAGTGGTTTGATTCTTTATATTTAATATGAACAAACAAGATGAGTTACAGACAGAACCTTTTTCAGTCTGTAAACAAACAAACAAACAAACAACATCTCCAGACCCGAACCCGATCTTTCTGCTCCTCTAGTCTGTTTTAATGATCGTGCAGATGCTCAGGGTCCCGCACAGTCTCAGTTCCGGTGTTAGGGTCCCCTACTGTCACCGAGCCGAGCAGCACCGCTTGAGCCTCCAGCAGCGTGGTGTCGGTTATGGATCCCAGGAAACGGGCCGTGAGCTCCAGGTCCTGGAGCAGCAGCCGGACTCTGGAGCCCCGCTGCAGCCTATTTCCTGACGTGGGCCGCCGGCAGACGCAGTGGAACTTCCCTCCAAAGTCGATGTACAGGTCGTTCTGGACCACATGGACGATCTTCCCGACCACCAACTGGTTCTTGACCGGACCCATCTGAATAAAGGCGGAGCGGCGCAGCAACGAGGCGAAGCTCTCCTCCTTCGAGGAGGAGGGGTCGCTCAGGCCGGCGGAGGTGCTCTTCTTCTCCCGCCGGAGCTCCGCCTGCTGCTCGAAGGAGGCGGCTAACCCGGACCTGGGTCTGTCCTCGGAGTCCGAACTGAAGGTCCGGATGAACCGAACCGCAGAACGACCACCAAACCTGAGTCTGCACAAGGCTGCCATGTTGTCTTTCTGCACCGGAAGAAGATGGCAATCACTTCCGGTAATGTCGGGCAATCACTTCCGGTAATGTCGGAGCCGCCTGGCGGCTAAAGGCAGAACTGCTTCTTGATAAAAAAAAAAAACGATTTTCAGTTAAAATAAAAGTTTAAATATTAAAAACTTTAAATGATTTTTTTTCCTAAATCATAAAACAGACAGAGACAGGATTAAATTCATGGTAACACGAGTTCAGCACGTTTAAAAAGATGTGAAAATTTTTTATCCACGATTGTTTCTGAAATACCGTATTTCAACAAGACAAATAAACATTTATTTATTCTTCTAGACTATATAATAATTTAAGCAAAATAATTAGATTTCACTCCGTTATAAAGTTTATTAGGTGGGTGTGTCTCCAGGACCTGATAATCTAAATAGAAAACAACTGGACCATCAATTATTAATATTTTTATGGCTGTTGAATCTCGTTTTGATTTCTGGTCCTGCTTTGTGTTCAAAAAACGTTCAGTACAAGAACAAGTGGACTTTATTTGTAACAGAAGACGTTTTGCTCCTCATCCGAGCAGTGAGTGTGGGGTTCAGGTAATAAGGCCTAACCTGGCGCCGTGGCAACGTACGTGATGACGTATTTACCTCAACGGTACAAATGAGTGCGCATGCGCATTAAGTGTACTTGGTCTCAAGTAAAATGGAGGTGTTTGTTGCGACTCCGACTTTAAGATGTTCTTCCTTCGTGTTTTCTGTCGGTTCGGCGGTCAGAGACGTTCTGGACAGGTTCTTTCCGGAGCAGGTGATTGTTTTTACACCGGACTGATCCGGAACCAAAGGCTAATCTGGGTTTAAAATGTTAAATCGGACCGATGTGTTGTTGGTCACCGATAAACTTCTGTGCTAACGGATGCTAATGAATTTTACAGATACGTTTATTTTACTTTAATTTTGTGAGTCAGGTCCTCTGGACTGATTCTTTTTTGTTGAAACGTTTCTTATAAGCAGTAGTCTTGTATAAAGTACCTCAAAGAGACACTTCAGTGAAAGTACAAGTATCTTACTATAAAATTACTCAAGTCTCATTTAAAATTAATACTTAAGTAAAAGTCTTAAAGTATCGGACATTCAATGTACTTAAGTATCAAAAGTAAATTTATCTTATAAAATGTACTTAAAGTAAGAGTATTAAGGAAAAGTAAATGGTTAGAATTTTCAAAACATTTTATCCAGTGAGAAAAACTTGGAAAGTTTGAACAATGAAAGATTGTTCTTTATAAAGTCTGATTCTAATGAAGTGTGTGAAGTTGTGTAAAACCAGACTAAAAGAGCTAAAAAAAAAATAAAATCAGTTCCCATCAAAAACTCATTTACTTGAATAAAAACCATTTTCTCCGGGAAGAAAGGGAAGTTTTGAGATTGGTCTGAAATTTGAGAAAGTTGAAGGGTCAAGTCCAGGTTTCATAATTAATGGATTTACTACTGCATATTTAAACAGGGACCACACTTGTAGCAATAGTATTTATAATGGCAAGAACAGAGGGTCCAATCGAGGGTAAAACGTGTTTAAAAAAACGACACATGGATGGGATCAGCAGGGGAACCAGAGGGTTTCCTGCTATGACCAACATTTAAAAATGAGGGAAATGGGTTCAAACTGACTGAAGCTGTTACAGCCAGAACTGTTCAGGTGGGTGAAGGTGCTGCTTAATGTTCAGGTGGGTGAAGGTGCTGCTTAATGTTCAGGTGGGTGAAGGTGCTGCTTAATGTTCAGGTGGGCAGAGGTGCTGCTTAATGTTCAGGTGGGCAGAGGTGCTGCTTAATGTTCAGGTGGGTGAAGGTGCTGCTTAAAGAGTTTACTGCAGCTCCTCAGACTGAAGAAGTCTTTGGAACAACTAAACTTTTGCAGCTTCTCTGGAATCATCTGAGCCTAAACAAGAAGTGACGTGTGGATTTTTTAAAAACTCTAATCAAAACTGTAGTTACCGTGGTAACCACATACTTGTCTTTCACTCCCTGACTGCCTGATAGGCAGAAAGTCAACAAACACTAGTACCGGTAATCATATTTTAAAAACTTGCTGACTCATGAGCAACGGCAGGTTCTGATAGTACCACAGGTTCTATTTTTGTTTACTTTGTCAGAACCTCCATTGATCCGGTTCTTCACAGTTTCAGGACTTCTATGTCACGTCAAATGGCCGACTGTCTCACCTTGAGGATCCTCTTCAACATGGAGCTGTCTATCGCCTGGAGCCTCGCCTCAGTGGAGGGAAGGGAGGTCAGTTCCAGGAATTAGATCTGTCCCGTGGTTGGAGAATGTGGTCAGTGACTAACTATTTTGTGTTTCAGGTTTTGGGTCGATGCTGCGAGCTCTGGGCGCTCAGATTGAGAAGACAACCAATCGGGAGGCCTGTAGGGATCTGAGCGGCCGGCGGCTTCGAGACGTGAACCACGAGAAAGAGTAAGTTGCACCCACTCTTGCAGCTGAAATCGGCTGCCTTGCAACGGCCCTCAGGCATCATGTCACCACACAGGAAGTGAAGTTTGTCCCGGCAGAAAGTGAAGTTTGTCCCGGCAGGAAGTGAAGTTTGTCTCGGCCGGAAGTTTTTTTTTTTTTTTTTGCCATCTTAGCAGAAAATGAAGGGTGTCACGGCAGGAAGTGCAATTTGTTATTATTAACCTTATTTTAATTAGGCAAATCCCATTGATCACAGATCTCTTGCAAGCTAGGCCTGGGCCTGAAGGCAGCCTAACAAGCAAGTTTGAAGTTTGGCTTAACAGGAAGTGAAGGGTGTCTCAGCAGGAAGTGGACAGCTATGTTGGAAGCTATTTGTTTTGTTTCAGACAAGTCTTTAAATAAAATCAGAGTTTAGAGTCTAAGGCTTTCCTGACCGAACAGAACTTGACTTGTTTATTGGAAGACCAAAGCAGCAGTCCAGCCCTTCTTCTTCTGTGGTGTTGGCAGGATGGCGGAGTGGCTGAAGAAGCAGGCGGATCGTGAAGCAGAGAAGGAGCAGCGGCGTTTGGAGCGTCTGCAGAGAAAACTGTCTGAGCCCAAACATCAGTTCACCGACCCGAAGTACCAGCAGCAGTGCCATGAGCTGAGTGAGAGGCTGGAGGACTCAGTGCTGAAAGGTAACAAGTCAGAACCGGTGCAGAGCGAGGCTTGGGTGAGTCTGGCTGCTGGTGTGTGACTTAGATGTGTGTTGCAGGTCTGCAGGTGTCCTCCAGCTGTCAGGTAAACGCAGGTGAAGGCTCCACCCCCAAGAGGCCAAGCACCAATCAGAGCGAGCCACAGAAGAAGAAGAAAATGAAGATGGCAGTGGAGACTGGTTTTTGGTCAGTCTTCCTTTTAAATAAAACTTTATTTGAAAAATGAATGACAGTTACAGCCCAAATGATAACTGTTGCCATGGTTACAGGACTGGCCTAGATGACCTGGATTCCACAGAATCCTCGGAGGAGGAGGATGAAGAGAGTCCATCCACGTCTGCTTTTACTGTGACGACACAGAGCGTGGAGCCTGAGCCCATCAGGACACCTCAGCAGGTGGCGAGTAATTCCTGTCAGTCTAATAACCTGATCAGACCCACATCTGGCTGCAGCAGCACCGGTCCAACTAGACCCTCAGAGGAGCAGAGGCCCGAAGTCCCCTCAGAGGAGCAGAGGCC